TCTGTAGCCGAGGATCAGACCGCCAGGGTCCCCGCCCTCGGCCACCACCCATCCCACATTGCACCTGACCCCTTTGGCCCCTCCCACAAGTGGTGAGCCCATGGGAAGTTTTATTTAAAATAAAATATTTAAAATTATTTAATACCTGCTGCACCTTTGTGCAGCCCATACTGAAGGATAAACTTCCTCCTGCAGCTGGACAGCTGATCTCCGTGTAGAGCGAAGAAGTAGGCGTGGCCAAAAGCGCTTGCAGCTGGCACAGAGCAGCTGGAGGCAGGAAGCTGAAATCATGACATACTGTGCTTTTTTAGAGCGCTTAGAGTTTAGAAACATTGTTTAGAATATCCTGATAGATGCTCAATAATCCAGGTAGAAAAATCCAACTTCCCAACAATCGAACTTTTTTGGATTGTTTAGAATATTGCAAGCATGTGGGAAGGGTTTAAAACACCTTTGTGTATATATGTGTGTATATATATATATATATATATATATATATATATTTTTTTTTTTTGTGTGTGTGTGTGTGTGTGTGTGTGTGTATACTGTCGAGGAAAATCAACACAACAACTCAGACTTTTCAGCCTATTCACCTGTTCCTCTCATTGGTTTGGAGATACATGGAGAAAAGACACAATAATCAGTCAGAGAGATTCAAGTTAAAATATATTACCAACATTTATTCAAGCTTTCAGCTGAAAGTAGACGCTCTTACCCCAAACAAACAGAAATACAACAAAAACCCAAGACGCGTCTGACCGGATCTTTCAGCTTCTTCTGTATTTAAACACAAAAGCTCCACCCAGAGACATGTCACACATTCTTACAGTTCTTTGTCTAAACTAGTTCAAACTGATGTTTTCATTTCCTGGAAGTACTTTTATGGAGTTATTTTTATTATTTTCTTTTGCCGTTCCAGTTTACTGGTGATCTTGTCATCAGGTGGGACACACACCAGCAGCTCCATGTTAGTTCATGTCTCGTACACAACAAACTCAAATACATTCTCTGACTTAGTTCAATCTGTACTTGTTGATACCAAAGGACAAGCAGATCCAAAAGCCAAGCATATACAGATAAAGGACAAGATACAGTTGTGATACATCGAGCAATACAGCACAGCAGATAAGAGAGTCTTTACAATACACTGCTCACAAAATTAAAGGGAACACTAAAATAACACATCCTAGACCTCAATTAATTAAATATTCTCATTGACAAGCTTTATTATTAGCACAATGGAATTGATTGAGAAGAAAATAACACAAAAATTATCAATGTAAATCAAAATTATGACACCATGGAGATTTGGATTTGGATTCATACTCAATATGACCCCATTCCTGCATCGGATTTCAAACAAGTTCTACCTATGATTGGACCCTATGCTCTTACTATTGTAATAGTAGTATTATGACAAGTGTGGTTCCTGATGTTTTCAAACATGCAGTAGTTCATCCATTAATTAAGAAACCTGGACTTGACCCTTCGACTTGCTCAAATTTCAGACCAATCTCGAAACTTCCCTTCCTGTCCAAAATCCTGGAGAAAATAGTATTCATTCAATTAAACAAGTTTTTGAATGAGAACAGAATCTTCAAGAATTTTAAATCTGGTTTTAAGCAACTCCACAGCACTGAAACAGCATTAGTAAGTGTTTGTAACGACATTATGATCTCAAACGATTCTGCTCAATTTGTGGTACTTGTGCTCCTGGACCTTACTGCTGCTTTTGATACTGTTGACCACAGTATCCTTATATCACGTCTGGAACAGTGGGTTGGGATTACAGGTGCTGCATTAGAATGATTCCGCTCATACCTGAGTGGCAGGAGTTTTTGTGTCAAGGTTGGTAATAATGTATCCGCCTCATTACCTCTTTCTTGCAGGGTCCCACAGGGTTCGATTCTTGGACCCCTTCTGTTCTCACTTTATTTGCCCCCACTGGGGTCCATCCTGAGGAAACATGGTCTTTCATTCCATTGCTATGCTGATGACTGTCATATCTACCTGCCTGTGAAACTAGCAAGTGTTTGCTCCATTCACCCTCTGTTAAAATGTCTGGATGACATTAAGGCCTGGTTGGCTTCAAATTTCTTAAATTTTAATGATGAGAAGACTGTAGTCATTGTCTTTAGCCCTAGCTCAACTGCCGCCACAGATCCTGTCAACCTGGACTCTCTTCAACCATATCTTAAGCAGTCTGGTAAAAATCTTGGGATGGTTTTAGACCCTGACGTCAAGTTTGACAAACAAAACTCTGTTCTGCAGAAAAGCTTCTTCCAACTAAGACTTATCTAAATCTGACTCCCGACGACCTCGGAGACGGGCCGACTATCAATTTCTCCTGGGACATGAGTACCCAAGGACAAAAGGACAAAAGCTTCATCTATCGCATACCCCCCCCCCCCCCGAGAACTTTCTGTGCAAGCTTATCAGAACTGCTGGCTGGAACAACATCTTCAGAAACTGTGGCTGATCTGAAAAAATGCTCATGGACAAATCTCAACACCTTGATGTCAAATGCAAATGTAATCATGTTTTAATTGTGCTGCTGTTAGAGTTTTTTTGATGTCTCAAATCGTGTCCTGATAGACAAGATGTGAAAGATCTTTTTTTGTAATACCACTATCTACCCTCATGTTTCTACCCCTTTTCCTATCTAAGATTATTATCTGATAAGGATAAAATGGCCGCGCTTTCTACAGTTGCAGCTTTGTGCACCGCCCATCTTTCGGACGACTGTACGTACTGTTGTGGATAGAATACCACGTCGTGTTCAAAACGGCGGAGGCGTCGCCCTTCGTATAAAAGATTTATTTGACACAACATGGGTTACAGATATTCAGAGACAAACAATTACATTAATAAGATATATGCATATAAATGGAGCATTAAGAACGAACCGCCTCGTGTGCGTCTCCCGGAAAATGCTCGGTACGCGTGCGTCATTCCCGGCCTTTTATCCCCGTTTGAGAAGGCTAGCTTCCTGATTGGTTCAGCTTCTGTCGCTATGGTTACGACTTAGCCCGCCCCCTCAAGGACGTTACGTCTATATTTCAGATAAGTTTTGGTTCACTTAAATCGGCTTTTGTTTAAAGTTTAACTTGCTATTATACTTTAGGGATATAAAATGATTCGTGTCTAAATTGTTTATGCGTAATAATTAATAACTATTAATTATTACCTACCTCCTGGGTGTTAATTCAATATCTGTTGGAGGTCTGGTGATTCTGTTTTTAAGGCAGATTCATCTTAGTTTCTGTGTCTGCGTTTAAAACTGTTAACACTGTTTAACGTGATTATACCTTAGTGATAACACTGATTTGAAATAGTTGTTTATTTCTAGGAATAATTATATTATCTAACTTATGTTCGTGTTTTTATTTGGATCATGGTTATACTCTTAATTTGATTTTACTTAGTCAACCTATAGTCTAAATTAAAGAGCTGTTCTAGCTTTATTTATGTTAATCAGTCTGCTCTCTGGCCTGATTTGATTGCTTGTAATTTATCAAATGTGAACTTGTAAAATTATCTTTAGCTACTATGAGATTATATTTAAAGGTCAACTAGTTAGAATTAGCAAACATTTTCTATAAACATAGTTCAACCTTGGAAGAAAGACACACCCACACTTTATATGACATGACATTTGAGTGCTTGATAGGAATTATAAAAAGGTATAAAATATTAAATCCAACAGTACATATTCGCGTTGTACCTCGGTGCCATTCCAATAAAGTTTATTCTGATTCTGACAGGTAGCTAAGCTCAAGCCAGTATTGTCCAGACCCGACCTTGATAAACTAGTCCATGCCTTTGTCATTACCTGATTGGACTATTGCAATGCACTCAATGCTGGGGTCAGCCAGGCCTCCATTTCACGTCATCAGCTTGTCCAGAATGCTTTAACCAGAACTCGTAGGTCTGAACATATTACACCAGTTCTGTCCTCCCTTCACTGGCTCCCTGTTCGTACTAGGATAGTCTTTAAAATTCTTCTGTTGACCTTCAAATGCTTAAATGGCCTCGCACCCCTTTACCTTTCTGAGCTTCTGGAACCTTACGTTCCCTCTCGGGCCCTGAGATCATCCGATCAGCTGCTTTTGGCTGTTCCAAAAACAAGACTGAAGCTCATAGGAGATCAGGCATTTTCAGTCATGGGCCCCAAACTCTGGAACAACCTGCCCCCCAACATCAGGCAGGCCACCTCCCTTCCTCACTTCAAATCCCTGCTAAATACATCTGTTCTCGCAGACATTTCACACAGTGTAAATTGATTTAGTGTTTTTTGTTCTGTGATCCTATGTTTTAAATGCTTTTTATTAATTCTTCAGTTATTATTATTAGTGTATTGTATTTTTTTTTGTCTTTAATTTTACTCCCATTGATTGTTGTTGTAGTTAAGCACTTTGATAACAGGTTCTGTTTTAAATGTGCTCTATAAATAAAGTTGACTTGACTTGATTTGAATATATGTATTGTATACACTAAAATAAACTACTACTTACTTTGTGGTTTTTCACTTATCACGGAACTTCAGGGTATGGATCCCCCGTGATAAATGAGGGACTACTGTAGCCTACCTACCTACCTACCTACATTGATTTATCTCCTACCTACCTACCTACCTACCTACCTACCTACCTACTACATCGATCTATCTCCTACCTACCTACCTACCTACCTACCTATTACATCGATCTATCGATCGTACCTACCTACCTACCTATTACATTGATCTATTGATCAATCTATCTTTTATATCGATCGATCTGTCTTTTACATTGATCTATCGATCGATCGATCGATCTATCTCCCACATCGATAGGTAGGTAGGTAGGTAGGTAGGTAGGTAGGTAGGTAGGTAGGTAGGTAGGTCGGTAGGTCGGTCGGTCGGTCGGTCGGTCGGTGTAACATTTTTATTACATTGGGCCATTCAAGGGCCCTCATACTACAAGCCTCATTAAGCTGTAAAAACATGTTTTGTCTTTCAGCTGAGGAGGATGAGGACAAGGAGGATGATTTTCGTGCTCCCCTCTACAAAACTGTGGAAATCAGGGGGATCCAGGTCAGGATGAAATGGTGTTCAACATGCCGGTTCTACAGGCCACCACGATGCTCTCATTGCTCCGTCTGTGACAACTGTGTGGAGGTTTGAACACTCATTTTAGTTACATACACCATCACTTCATCATTTCTGTGCATCAAGATGTGCCTGGTGTGATTCCATGAACAGCACCTTCAGTTTTTCTATTCACATCACTGGATGGGAGTAGTACTATTCTCTTAGCCCAGCCTGCTTTTTGACAAGTAAATCAAAAGTTACAGTTTTCCATTTGCACATTGGAATATTGTTTGGCCTATTCTCAACCTCTTTGTTTCCCCCAAAGACTTGAGCAGAAATGGATAAGGGAGCTCATAATCCACTGTATTCATGTTAATGCCCACCATGGATACACATCTCAGTTCACAAACACAATGAGGGCACGGTACATGTGCTTATTGGCTTAAGGTTTTTATTTTGGGACTGAACAAAATTAGCTTAAATGAGCAGCTAATCAAGGTGGTGTGGTCTAACATTGGACTATCACTCAATCTCATCTTAACAAATGCTTCAGTTGCTGCCAGGAGTATAAAAAATTGGCTCATTTAGAAGGATTCTGTGTTTTTCTTGGTATTATTTGATGCTGATTCTTTTTCACATTTCACCAAAATGGGTGGGGGGGGGGGACTTAAAACATCATTTGACAGTCAAATCAAGTCAAATTTATTTATAAAGCACATTTACAAAACAGCAGCTGTTACCAAAGTGCTTAACAATAAAAATCAATGGCAGTAATTTAATGAAAAAATATCCATCCCTCCATCATCTTCCTCTTGTTCTGGACTCATGTCTCAAGGGCAGCATCTTGAGCAGGGAGGTCCAGACATCTCTCTCCACAACCTCTTCCAGCTCTTCTGGAAGGACTCCAAGCTGTTCCTAGGACAACAGAGAGATAGTCTCTTCACTGTGTCCTGGGTCTTGCTCGCGGTCTCCTCCCAGTCGGACATGCCGAAGCACCTCCCTAGGGAGGCACCCAGAGAGCATCCTTACCAGATGCCTGAACTGCCTCAATTGGCTCCTCTGGATGTGGAGGAGCAGTGGTTCTACTCCGAGTCTCTCCTGATAACTGAACTTCTCACCCTGTCTCTAAGGGAGAGTCCAGCTACCCTGCAAAGGAAACTCATTTCAACCTCCTGTATCCACGATCTCATTCTTTCAGTCACTACCCAGAGTTCATGACCAGAGGTGAGGGGAGGAACATAGACCAACCAGTAAACCGAGAGCTTTGCCTTACAGCTCAGCTCCCTCTTCACCACAATGGACCGACACAGAGTCCATAATACTGCAGATGCTGCACCAATCCATCTGTCAATCTCACGCGCCATTCTTCTCACTCATGAATAAAACCTCGAGATACTTGAACTCCTTCACTTGAGGCAGAATCTCACCCTCGACCTGAAGAAAATAATCCACCCTTTTCCGAAAGAGGACCATGGCCTCAGATTTGGAGGTGCTGATTCTCATCCCAGCTGCTTCACACTCGGCTGTGAACCGCTTTAGTGAGAGCTGAAGATCATGGCATGATGATGTCAACAGGACCACATCCTCTGCAAAGAGCAGAGATGAATCCTGAGGCCACCGAACTGGACTCCCTCCGCCCCCTGCTGCACCAAGACATTCTGTTCATAAAAGTTATGAACAGAATTTGTGACAACGAGCTGCCCTGGTGGAGTCCGACACCCACCCTGAAGGGGTCTGACTTTCTACCGGCAATGCAAACCAAAGACTTGCATCGCTTGTATAGGGACCGAACAGCCCGTAACAACTGGCCCACAATCCCATACTCACGGAGCAACCCCCACAGTGTACCCAGAGGAACACGGTCAGATAAAAATACGAAATTATAAATACTAAAATACTAAAAGTTAAACATCAAAAGCCTTTTTAAATGAACAGGTTTTCAATTTGGCTTTGAACAGAACCAGATCAGAGATGGAATGCAGCTCATAGGGAAGAGTATTCCAGGCTGTTGGCCTGCAACAGAAAAAAGGGCCGGTCCCCCCATTGTTTGCACCTTGAGCAAGGCACTTCCAGCAGATATTGACCAGCAGACCGTAAAGCTCTGCTGGTCTGGTGGACTTGCAAAAGTTCTGAAATAAAAGGTGGTGCAAGGCCATTCAAAGCTTTAAAAACAAACAGCAGCAGCTTGAACTGTATCCTAAACTCCAAAAAAGTTCAATTTGGTCCTCTGGACAT